AGTCTATTTAATTTGATTAGACTTTTTATATGAATGTTGGAGTAGAGTTATTTTATTGTTGTAAAGAGAAATTAAAATAGCTTTTCATAAACTTAATATAAAAGTAATGTAAAATGTTGAAAAACATATTCGATATATTTTGATATATTTTTTAATAAAAATAAAATAATCAACTTCATTAATAAATTAAATCACAAGTTTTTAGGTGGAAAAATAAAAAAAGATATTTATGTTAATTATAATAAAAAAACAAATGAATTTAGTAGAAAAATAACAAAATAAAAAAAAAGAAATAAAATAATCTTATTTATAGTTTTGTAAATTATTCAAGAATAAAGTGAGAAGGTAAAAAAATTTTCATGGCACTTCATGAAGAAACTTCAATTTATAATTTTGTCTAAAAGCTTTGTAGACATTCTATTTTGTCCAAAATTTAAAATTCATTTTTATTTTATTTATAATATTTTTATTTGTTGTTTAACAAAAAAATGTTTTGCCATGAGAAAATTGATGTTATTAGAATTAAAATTGGATTCAATCTGTAGATAATAAATTTTAGTTTCATGATAATACAAAAATCTTATCAAAAATAAAATTACAATCAATCAAAAACTCTTCTAAGTGTTCTTATAAATAAACATACGAATCAATAGAAAAGATCAAGTTCTGAAGGGTGGAAAAGGTAAAAAAAGGCAGTTAGTAAGCAACCAAAAATTTTTTAAAAGGAGAACAAAGTTTTGTTAGAGATTTTTGGGGAGCTTTCATGCAACCAAGGGTTTGACTAGGGTGAAAGGTGGTTTAGGAGTCGAATTAACCTTTTTTTAAAATTTTTTTGGAATTTTTGGAAAATTATGGAAATTTCTAGAATTTGATTAAAGATTTTGGCGAAAACTTTAGGTTTTCCTATAGAAATCCTACTTTCTAACGGAAATCCTAGCTTTCGGTGTAGAAATCCCAGAACTCGATGATCAAATCTAGATTTCGATAGAACTCTCGATGAAACTTTCCAGATTTCGGCACCATTTTTAAAATCTAGGGAAGTTTTAATTAGATTTCATCTTTTTTTAGAGAGAGATCAAAGGAAAAAAAAAGAAAAAAGGCTAGGAAAAATTTGAAAAAAAAAGCAAAAATTTGGGTTTTTATAGTATTAGGAAACGACACCATTTTTTGGTTTTGAAATTCTTCAAAATCCGCATGTTGATCTAGGAAGATCCGTACATCAACCCGATTTGTAATGTACCCAACTCGGATTTCTTAAGCTCTAGTCGACTTTCCAATCAAGTCAAACACCGGTTGAGTCGTTTCAGCCTTCTGTTTATTCCTTCAGTCGAGCCCACTAGTCACTAACGCCAAGTTGATTTCCTTTTATTTTGTATTTTATTTATTTATTTATAGTTTTCTTTACATGATTAAATTTTTAGGAAAGCTATAGAAATTATAAAAAATATAAAATATAAAAATATAAAAATAAATAAACAAGTTTAATAAAATTTTGAGAATGAATTAAAAATTATTCAATGATGAGATTTTTAAAAATCTCAAATAGTAAATTTTTTAAGAAATCTCTAGGTAAGAAATTCTCTAAATTTGACTCAAATAGTGGATTACTTTAGATGAAATTTTAATAAAAAATTATATTTTTTTTCAAATTAAAAATAAAAATTAACAAAAGTTTGTGTGAAAATATTTGATAATTATTTAAGGATGAAATCTCAAGAAAAATCACAAATGGTTAAATTTCTATGAGATTTTCAGGTGAAGGATTTTTTTTCCTAAATTAGACCCAAATGATAGAAAATTTAGAAATAAAACTTATAAAATAAAAAATAAAATAAGAGAATGAAATTTTTAATAATCTCAAATGGATAATTTTCTAAAATATTTTTAGGTAAGGAAATATTTCTAATTTTGGCTTTAATGATGGAAGGATTAAATATATTTTCAATAAAATAAAAATTTAACAAAAAAATAAATAAATGATTAAGTTTTTCTGATGATGGAGCATTTTCAAGAAAATAAATGAGATTGTTGAATACTCTTAAGATGAGGAAGTTTTTTCAAAATTCTACCAGATTAATGGAGAAATCTTAGAAGTCATTTTCAATATTTAAACATTAAAATAAAGACCATTAGAACCAAGATGACTGCTAGGATATTTTAAAATTAAATATTACCATTTTAGAATGGACATTGTGAGAGTGCTATAACTTTTCTTATATGTAATCAAACTTTCGAATTTAGTTTTGTTCAAAAGTCAAAACCTATTTTTTAAGGACCTTTAGTCAAGCTTGGAAGCTCATTAAAATGATAGATTTATTGGATGACCAATTACACAAATGCATTGGAATCCATTTTCCATCAATTACGGCCTATGACATAGTCATGTTGACAGATAGTGCCATATCATAGATGCTCGAATTGTTGTAACTTAAAAGAGGGAGGAAGAGGACTTGAGAGATTGTTGTAACTTACATCATAGATGCTCGGATTCATTGAATCCCCTAGTTGGAAAGGTATCTCTCTGTTAATAAAATTATGACTAGGGTTGGCAGTGTTAAGTGGAAATAGTATAACAATTTCAGGCGGGATGCTTCCTTCTAAATTGTTGTTGCTTACTTCCAATGTTTCCAAAGCAATTCTATTTTTTGGTGGAATGAATCCATCCAATTTGATTTGAGAGAGGGACAACCAAGTCAGGAATTCTAAATTACCAGTTTCTTTGGGTATAAGACCTTCTAAAATTACCAATAGAAGAAGGGATTCGACCACTGAATTAGTTACTTTGGTACCTTTTGCTAGATCAAAAGTATTCAAAGTCTATTTAATTTGATTAGACTTTTTATAAGAACTGTAGTTGGAGTAGAGTTATTTTATTGTTGTAAAGAAAAATTAAAATAGCTTTTATAAACTTAATATAAAAATAATGTAAAATATTGAAAAAATTAGTTGATATTTTTTTAATATATTTTTTAATAAAAATAAAATAATCAACTTCATTAATAAATTAAATCACAAGTTTTTAGGTGAAAAAGTAAAATAAAAAGATATTTTTGTTAATTATAATAATAAATAAATAAATTTAGTACAAAAATGAACAAAATAAAATGTTAATTATAATAAAAAATAAATAAATTTAGTACAAAAATGAACAAAACAAAATAATGTGAAATAATTAATCTTAGTTAATTATAATTTTGTAAATTATTGAAAAATAAAATGAGAAGGTAAAAAATTTTCATGGCATTTCATGAAGAAACTTTGATTTATAATTTCGTCTAAAAGCTCAAATACACTTTTCGCATAAACTAAAATTCTTAAAATTTTTAGAGTTAAATACTTTTTTTCACCTTGTAGACACCCAAATCTGTCTAGGGGTCTACGTTTGATTTTTATTAATAAAAATAAAAAAAATAAAAAAAGCTAGAAAAAATGAAAAAAGAAGTTGAATTTAGGTTGGAATTGGGTTGTAGGGTTTGAGCTGTGGTTAAGGTTGAACTTTAAAAGAAATTGGGATTCCTATTCGGATGAGAATTCTTTGGCTTTCAATTTATAAATAGAGACCCTAAGTGAGCCTAGACAACACACAGATTAGAAGGAGAAACACACAAAATACAGAAAAATAGAACCAAAAAGGTGTTTAGAAGGTGTAGAAGTAGTCTTAGGATTTTTAAGAATTTTTCAGAAACTTTTGCTATTTTTTTTTGGGAATTTTTTGGAAAATCCAAATTCTGGCAAACTTTTTTGACGAGATTTTTATTTTTCAATCGTATTTCCCAGTTTTCGGCGTTGTTTCCCAGTTTTTGATGAAATATTCAATCGAAAATCTAGGTTTGTGTAAAAGAGAAAAAGAGAAAAGAGAGAAAGAGAGAGAGAAGGAAGAGAGACATCTGAAGAAAAAAATTTTTTTTGCCTTTTATATTACCCCAAAACGACGTTGTTTTACGTTTAAGAAGACCTAGGATCCGTGCATTTTTCATTTGGGCGATCCGACCCGATCACAACTTGGTCCATTGACTAACGTCCTAGTCGAACCTAGTTGTTGAGCCAAGCCAAGCCGCGCCTTCGAGTCGCCTTTTGTGCTTAGAGCCAAGCTGCGCCGAATTCTCAGCTGAGCTGTTTCGTCTTTTTTTAGGTATTTTTTGTATTTTTTAAATTTATTTTTATGTTTTTTTTTTTTTAGTATTTTTTTTGCATGATTGAATTTAGGAAAAAATAAAAAATAAAAATTATAGATAAATTTGAGAATAAATATTAATTATCCAATGATGAAATTTATAGAAATTTCAAATGGTAAATTTCTATAAAATTCCTAGGTGAGAAATTTTGTCTAAATTTATTCCAAATGGTGGAATAATTTAGATAAAATTTCAACAACAATAATTAATATTTATTTTCAATCCAAAAAAAATAAAAAAATAAAAAATAAAAATTTGGGTTGAAAATATTTGATAATTATCCAATGATGAGATTCTTAAAATTTTCAAATGGTAAATTTCTAAGAAATCTCCAGATGAAAAATTTTCTTTAAATTTATTCCAAATAGTGGAATAATTTAAATGAAATTACAATAAAAATAATTGTCATATTATTTGCTTTAGAAAAAAAAAATAAAAAGAATTTTTAAATAGGCCTAAATAGTGAAAAATTAGAGATAAAAAATAAAAAAAACTTCTAAATAGGCCCAAATGGTGAAAAATTTAAAAAATTCAAAAAGAGAGAATATTTCTAATTTGGCTTAAATGGTGGAATAATTAAATATATTTTTGACAAAAAAAATAATAAATTAACTTTTTTCTGACGACGGAGCCTCTTCAAGGAAACAAATGGAATCCTTGAATACTCTTGAAGTGAAAAAATATTTTTAGAGTTTTACCAGATTGATGGAGAATCTGAAAAATTATTTTCAATATTTAACATAAAATTTGAAACCATTAGACTGAAAACTTTAGGATAAATTAAAAATAATATGGTACCATCCTTTGGATGAGTATGTGTGGGTGCTATAACCTTCCCCACATGTAATCAAACTTTCGAATTCTATTCTGGTTTATAAACCTAAACCTATTCTTTTAGAGACCCTTAGTTAAACTCAAGAGTTCCTTAAGAGGATAGATTCCTTATGTGGTCAATCACACTTAGTAAAAAAGATTAGTGGCGACTCTTTTTGTTAAATCTACCTGTAGATTTTTCGATCTATATGTTATGACACACCTCTTACAATAAATAAGCTCTTCTATAAGATGGATCAAACACTCACTAAATTAATTGAATATCTAAGCAAGTAGAAGCAAATTGAATTATAAAGCATCCATATAAGAACTACAATTTAACATGATTCATTCTAATCCAAGTGATCTACATTCACGGATGAGAAACAAGATTTACAAATTGTATAGAATTACAAACATTTGAATAAATCAATCAATGCTTACAATCAACACCTATCGACTCCTCAATTTTCTCTAGTCTTATAGAATATTTTTTATTCAAATAAAAATTTGCACGCACTCATATGGACTCTGTTATTCTCCTTTAATTTGCTTACAAACATGACAATCATTATAGTTATGTGAACACTTTTAATCTTTTCTAATAAACATAATAATTATTATAGTTATATAGACCCTCTCAATTTACTTTAATCTTATGAGATACCTACCATACTTTACAACTTTTTTACATAATTTTTTTACTATCTAATCTTATAGACTTTCACTATTTATGAGAATACTAATTTGTCTATTAAGAATCTCTTTTTTCTAAATTTATTTTTGCAAGTATTTTTGTTTGTCAAGCAATATCTAAACCAATCTTAAAAAAATCTCAAACAAATCTTATATTTTTGGAATTTGAGTTAAGATACCAACATCGCTGACATTTGAGATATTTAGATTCTAAAAGTTCCTTAATTATGAAAAAAGACAACTATCATTTTGAGTTTTGATCCAGTAAAGAGATTCCATATTTGTCGAATGACATGAATTGGACCAACAAATGGAAAGGGGCTAAACCATAAATTCTTTAGACATAATTTCAACCAAATTATTAGCTTTTCAAATATTTCTAGTTAGATTTAATTTGTTGACTGCTAGTACACGAGCTTGCTTAAATGTTCTAAAAAGGAAGGGATTGGACCAACAAGCATGTTGTGGGAGAGATGAAGCTCCATCAAATTCATTAATTGACCTGGAATGGAAGGGATTGAGCCATCAACAATGTTGTAGGATAGATATAGTGTCACACCAAGCACTCCGATGAGAGTAGGCAGGATATTCTAATCCCACATTGAACATGAAAAGAGGTTACTGGGGTATAAAAGGGTTCACACCACCTCTTCCTTGTGAGGTACCTTTTGTAGGATAAAATCGTAAGGCCAAAGGAGCCAGAGCGGACAATACCTCCTAAGGGTGTGGACTTTAGGCTGATCTGGGATGTCAGATAAGTGTATGTCCGGATCCTACAGCCGCACGAGCCTAGAGGTTGAGTTTTGACCCGTGACAAGTGATATCAGAGCAGGTCCTGGAGCATTCAACCCATGCCAAGCACTTCGAAAGAGGTAGGCAAGATGGTTATCCTTCGTAACAAGGGCGTCATGAGGTTGGGTGGGGGAGAATGTCACCCCAAACGTTCCAAGAGAGAGTAAGTAGGGTACTCCAATCTCACATCAAACATAAAAATAGGAGTTACTTGGGTATAAAAAGGTTCACATCACCTTTTCCTTATAAGGTGCCTTTTGTAGGATAAAATCGTAAAGTCAAAAGGGTTAGAACGGATAATATCTCACAAAATATGAAACTTAGGCTGATCTGGAATGTCGAATGAGTGCATGCTCGAGTCTTAGAGCCGTACGAGCTTAGAGGTTGAGTCTTGGCCCATGACAATAGTGCCATCATATTAGTTAATTCGACCTAGAATGGAAGGGATTGAGCCATCAAGCATGTTATAGGGACAGATTTAGCACCGTTAAATGAGTTAATTGTCCTAAAGTGGGTGGAACCAAGCTAATTGTGGGTTAATTGGCCCACGGTGGAAGGGATACGGCTGACATGGCCGTTCATGGACATATTCATTGTAACCAATTTAGTTAATTGGCTCAAGATGGAAGAGACTGTGCCAACAAGTTGATTTCCACTTTGCCAGAGAGATCAAAGGCTCCCAATTCAAATAGTTGTTATAGGAGTCAGTCATGGTTGTGATGTACCTTTCGTTGGGGTCAATGCTTGCTATATTTTCTTGTAAAGGGCATTGATGACCCACCTAGAAGTGGACCAAATATGGTCTGGTTAAATCAAGCAACTCCATAGTGAAATTGGACAAAACGACCAAGAGGATAAAGGGATCAATTTTAGACAAATACGCATGAGTATGCAAAATTTTCTAATTATTTAATTATAAGATTAGACAATGAGAGTTGACAATTACCATACATTATAAATTGATAAAAACTTTTACAAACGAAATAAGTTATTTAGCAGCTTTAAACAGGATAAGTTTCACTTTGGCCACCAATATGCATTTGACGGTTCACAAGTTGCAACAAAGTAATCATTCGGAGAGGAATCCCTAAAGATTTTTGGGAAGAAAGAAACTCTTTGCACACTTCTTCCATCATTGGTCGGGACTTTGGTTTCGTATGTAAGCAAGCAAATGCTAGTGTAGCAGCGTGAACAATATTTTGTGCAACCAGTTGGCTTGTTGGAGGTGGTAGACGTCTGTCTAACACATCAATTAGCTTCATATTTTGCAAAGAAGATGGCGATGACGATGATGACAAAAGTTCTCCAGGATGCTTTCCCATTAATGTTTCTAATGCCAAAACCCCAAAACTATAGACGTCACATTTTTTGGTCGCAACCATTGTGTAGGCCAATTCTGTATAAACAAAGTACATGCATGAAAAAGAGAACTAATTAAATACAAATATATTCGAAAGAGAACCAATATCGAAAAAAAAAAAAGCCAATGATGTAGTAGAAGGTAACAAAAATATTACCTGGGGCTACATAGCCATATGTACCAGCAAGAACAGTCAGATTAGATGAATCAAGATATAGCATTCTAGCGGTTCCAAAATCAGCGACAAAAGCCTCCAAGTTTGAGTTTAGCAGAATATTGTTACTTGAAATGTCTCGATGAACGATTGGGGGGGTGCAATCATGATGCAAGTAAGACAAGGCTTGAGCAACGGATTTAATGATCTCAACTCTTTTTATCCAATTCAACTCCACAGCTTCATCATCATTACTTAGGACGTAGAACAAGCTTCCTCTTTCCATGTATTCATATATCAGAAACATGCACCGTCGGTGTAGACAATATCCATGAAGCTTCACTATATTTCGATGTCGAATTTCGGACAAAATTTTTACCTCATTCCTAAAACTCTTGTCGAAACCCGGATCCTCAGCTTCAAGGCGATGAAGTTTTTTCAAAGCAACTATTTTACCACATGGTAGTTGTGCTTTGTAAACACTTCCATAACCCCCAGTTCCAATGCAGTATCGAATATCAAAATCTTCTGTTGCTGCAATAATGTCTTCATATGCTATATTTCCATCATAGTTCCATATTGAGCACAAATCCCCATTTTTTGTTGTTTGTGAAGCAGATTGGTTCTTTTTGGCCTTGAACCGCCATAAAAACAAACTCCCCAGAATAGAAAAAGTAGAGAATATGGCAATAGGGAGGAATATTTTCGTGAAGTAAGGAGTTCTACTGCTCTTGGTTTGATTGGTTAGTGAAGAACAGAGGTAGGGTGATAAATCCTTGTTGCCTTCAAATGGATAGGGATAGATAGTCTTACAACCATTATTGGTATCAACAATTTTGAGATCAGTGGCCTCCAAGACAGGGATTTCACCTGAGAGATTGTTGTAGCTGAGATTTAAATATCGTAGATTTGAAAATTTGCCGATCTGAGGAGGGATGTACCCCTCTAAATGATTGCTGCTTAGGTCCAAATAGGATAAACTTAAGCAACTCCCAATTTGAGAAGGGATGTATCTCTCTAAATTATTGTTGCTTAGGTCCAATTGCCACAAATTTAAACAATTCCCAATTTGTGAGGGTATGGATCCACTCAATTTGTTGTGGGAGAGGTACAAGCCCTGGAGTGCTTCTAAATTCCCAATTTCTTTTGGTATAGGACCTTCTAAAAGATTTGAAAGAATGCCCAGTTTTTGCAAATTTGATAAATTACCGATAGAAGAAGGGATTGAACCACTGATTTGATTTTTTCCAAGGCCAAGTATGAGCAAGTTTGTCAAATGGCACAGAGCTGGAGGAATCGAACCTGTGAATCTATTATTATAGATGCTGAAAGTATGGAGGTTCTTTAGCTTTTCAATATTTGGAGGTATGGAACCTTCAAGTTTGTTAAACTCAAGAAGCAGAGTTGCCAAATTGGTTAATTGATACAGAGTAAAAGGTATTGAACCAACAAGCATATTGCCCGTAAGAATCAGAGACTTGAGATTGGTTAATTGACCCAAATCAGAAGGGATTACACCAGCAAACTGATTCCAACTCAAATTTAAACTAACCAGGTTTTTCAAATTCCCTAGTTGTGGAGGGATGGAACCATTAATGTTATCATTATAGGAAATGTCAAGAAACTCTAATTGGGTTAGGTTTCCTAGGGAAGAAGGTAACTCACCAGATAACTCACAATAGGACAAGTCCAGGTACTTCAATGCGGATAGATCACCTATCTGAGGCGGGATATTTCCACCAAGTTTACGATCGCTAAGATCAAGAAGGACAAGATTTGGAAATGAAGAGAAATTCAATTTTCCAAATCTATCACCAACCTGAATGACGTCAGGAGATGGATTAATTTTGGTGATGCTTCCTGCATTGTTGCATGAAATACCGTGCCACTTGCAACGTTGTGAAGTATCGTTGCTATAGCTACTCCACCAGCCACTCTTTAGCATAGCCACAGCTTCTGATTCCAGTGAAGATACTGCTGCTAACAAGGTTGCAGCAAAGGAAAGAAGGATGGTACTCCACAACACCCCTAAAAAAATGGAATTGGTTAAGGATGAGGCCATGTTTATTTAGCTTGAATATCTGGTAAAGGTTCAGTTGTAGCATGTTATGATTTCCACAGGCTAATGAATTTATATGGAAATGGAGTAGTCGAGGTCTTGTTCTACTTTTTGTTAGTCAATTGTTATCATTGATTGTTCTGTAGATGTCATGGAATTATACGTATGAATAATGCATTTTCCCAGCAATATGGTGCATAGACTTGCAATACTGTGTTTAGACGTCTTGAAGAAGACAAGTATCTTTCCCCGTTGCTAGCTAATCCTTGAAGTATCTTTACCAATCAAAGACTCAATCCTCTCTTTTATTTTAATACTTCAGCAGTTCTTTCTTTTCTTTTGCTTTCAGCAATAAAAGTAAAGTTTTTTTTATTTAAAATTAAGATGCAATTTATATTAAATTTTTTTTTATAAAAATTATATTAAATTAAATGTTGAATCAATCGAATCAAATACAAGTTATACATATTATTTGAGTTGAGATTAAATATAAAAAATAATAATAAGATATCAAGATAAAATATATTCAAGTGAAATAATTAAAAAATCGAGTCAAATTCATTGTAAAAAAATACTTTTATCTCGCCTCATTGTTATCCTTAATTTTTAAGGCATAATGCCATCTCTTTGATTTCTTTTACACGTTGGATCAAATTGGAGAATTTCTATCTTCCATAGCAGCCAAATAAACAAGATCATTTCAAATATTGTAGCATTGCGTTCAGACGAGTGCAAGAAACAGCCACATTTCTAAAAGCTAACAGTAAATTAGAAAAGGATCCAATGTGGACTAGCTTTTGATTGGATGTTCACTTAAAAAGTCTCCTTTTTGTAATTGATTAATAATATTATTGCAAAGAAAGTTCAAAGAAAGGACAACATGGTATGTGTACTTGCCTTTTCTTCTCCACCATTCAATTTCTTCAATTTGCATGTATTTTTTTATATTACCAATTTCATTCCATGATACAATAAGCTGTTGGTAAATACCACAGATGAAATGTTTTGTAAAAACCAAAAATTTTGTCTTTCAAAATATTTTAGACATTGTTTCAATTAATTGTCCTCTTTTTTGGATAATTGAAAATTGTATTAAAATTAAAAAAAAAAATGTGGATTTTATTCTAATACATGAAAACATTAAGAGTCGAAGTCTTTTCTTTCTTTGAAGTGTTATATTTTTCAAATGAGATCGGCCCATGAAAAGGATCATATTCAATGTGATGACTTCTCAAACAGATTAGTTTTGAAATGTTCTATATTCTACGAATAAGTGATAATACTGGATACTTCTTAGTAATAGCAAACCTTACGTATCTTTCACGTCCATTGACTTGCAATGGAAAATAGAATCCATTGAACCAAATTGGAGATTTATTTTTTTTTTCTCTCATAAAAAAATTTTATTTTGTCTGTATTTTGGTGCATGTTCTTCTGCACTTCGTAACCTTTTTTTTTCCTACTTCTAGACTTTAGAAAGAAAGAAAACTGATTTCTAAAGGTAGCTCCTTTCATGTTTTCTATACATTAAGTCAAAGATCTCTTCCTTTTCCAATTCTCTGTTTTGAATCTTACTTCCTTTCGCTAGGTAGGAAATTTTATGATGGGAATTCAACCTAAATTAACTAATAATAAGAGGATGGATAATTTATTTTAACAATTCTCTAATACACCTTAGCTTTAATTGATTTAAAATTAATTATTATAATCATTGAAAAAAGATTTTTGATAATACCATTTAAATCGTCCTGATAGAAATGTTTATGCTCCCACACAATTCTGGTAATCAAGCCAATGATAATATATGAGATGATGTTGGTATAATATAGTACAAACTCCTGAAAATTGAAAATTTTGATTTTATGATACTAAAATATTACCAAACACAATGAATGATAGCTAAAAGGGAAAACAACACAACAAATAATTCTTTCCGATTTAAAATTGAAGCTCAACACGAGATCTAAGATGGCAGAACAATCGAACCCTAATTGTCAGCATGCATGAAGTGAAGAATATGATTCATTTGCACCCTTTTCCTTCCACATTTCAGGATAAATGTTGAAGCAATGGTTGAGCTTATTTGAAGAATCAATTATAGAACATTGATATTTTTCACAACTTGTCAACAATTATAGATGATTGTATGAAATTTATAGAAGGTTTTGTAGTCTAAATCAAAGTATCAAGCAAATTGCGTGTAATGACTTGCATAGTCAACAATGACTTTTCTAACCCAGAAATATTGCACATTTATGATGAAAATGCAGCATAACAGCAGCAGGTCGATAAAGGTCCTCCCTTGGGAACAATTTTTCAAATGGTCCATGTAGACACCAATTTTGACTAATGAATTTTTGTTTTTGTTTTTGTTTTTTTATTATTATTAATCTTTAAAAAAAGAAAAAGAACAAAAGTCAAAGAAAAAATCTTTGATTTCAACTCTGGCAGCTGAAATCAAGCTGCCAGAGTGATATTTTTTTCCCTGACACTACCTAACTTGGTAGCATGATATCCGGTGACTTTTGGTTATCGGATAGAAACTCAAATTTTTCACAAAAAAATCTAAAGAGATCTGGGATTGAAATCCCAAAAGCTCTATAATCACAGTCCTTCTTGGCCAAGGAACCAATAGCAAACAAAAAAAATTCAAAAAAAAAAACATTGAGAATGAAATTCTCAATTTCGGAAGTTTGAGATTTCTTTTAAAAAATCTGGGCTTGAAAAAGTGTTTAGAAAGCAAAAAGGATCATTGGGTGAATTTTTAGGAATTTTTGAAAATTTTTTGGGTCGTCGAAAATTGGAAAAGTTTAAATTTTTTAACGATCGTTGAATTTTTTTACCACCGAAATTTGAAAAAGTTTGAGTTTTCTGGTGATCGTTGAATTTTTCGACCACCAAACTCTAGGTATCTTTTAATTTTCTGGCATCGTTGAAGATTTCGACAACCGGTGCATGACGGCGACCAACCAAAATTTGGGTTGCTATGGTGGATGGTGAGAGGGATTGAATTTCTAGAGAGAGAGACTCTGGGGTAGAGAGAGAAAGGAAAGAAAAAAATAAGGAAAAATCTAATTTTGGCCTATTTATAGGCACCCAAAAATGACACCATTTTGAACATTTTAACTGAACCTGACCCCGCAGGATTCACGTGTCGATCTACGTGCTAACCTGACCTATTTCGCAGGTTTTCCCATTTCTTTTTCTTTTTTGTTTTGATTTTGATTTATTTTATGTTGATTTTTATGTTATTTTTTTATGTTGTTTCTATGATATTATTATTATTATTATTATTATTATTATTATTATTATTATTACTACTACTACTACTACTAGTAATAATTATTTAGAAACAAATAAAGAAAATAAAAAAAACAAAATTAAAATAACATAGACTTAAAAATATAATATGCAAAAAAAATAATAATAATAATGACTATTTAATGAAAATAAAATTTTATTATAAGAAAAAATATTATTTAAATTTCACCAAAGTATTGGGATAATTTTAAAAAATAATTTTTGCTACAAAAAATAATAAATTTTAAAAAATAAAAAATAAAAAATTATTTAAATGAATCTTTTAAATATAATTTTTAAAGAAAGTTGAAAGGGTTTAGTTTTCTTTAATAATTGCAAATAAAATTAATTTTTTCGATTTCAACATAGAGTTGGGATAATCCAAAATTAATATTATAAAAATAAAGATTGATTTAGGCAATGAAAAATAATAATAAAAAAATAAAATGAAAAAATAATAATAATTGATATTTAAATATTTTAAAAAAAATTGAAAGAGTTCGATTTTCTTTAATATAGCAAAATATTAATATTTAGATTTCACCGGTGAGTCAGGATAATCTAAATTTTTTATAATAAAAATAATTAATAAATAAAAAATCATAAAATTTTTTAAAATAATCATAATAAAAATTAATTAATAAATTTCTTTAATTATAAAAAAATAATTTTATTTACGATCTTGTCAAAAAGTTGATATGATCCTAAAACTTGTTCAAAATTTTTAGGATTTTATCGAAGAGTCGGGATAATCTTAAAACTTGTTTAATAAATTTTTAGAATTCACCAAAGAGTTGGGATGTTTCTAAAATTTTTTTTTAAAACAAATAAATAAAATATCTTATGACGAGATTTCGAGAATTTTGTAAATAGTCAATTTTCTTAAAATATCTTTTAAATAGTGATTCTCTATAAATTTCACCAAAACGTTGGAGAATTTATAGAGTATAAAAAAAATAATAATACTAATTTCACAACAAAAATTTTTTTTAAAAATAAATTTTAAGAAATTAAATTTAAAAGACCGTGTCATCAAAATTATAGGATTGCACATGTTTAATTAGTACCATTCTTTGAACGGGCAACGTGAGGGTGCTAATACATTCCTCACTCGTAACCGTACTCTCGGATCTAACCCTGATTTCGCAAACCTAAACTTCTTTTAGTAATTCTTAATTAATTTTAAGATTTTTACTAAAAGATGATATTTTGGGCCGCCAATCACACCCTATAAAAAGATTGTTGGTGACTCTAAAATTTTTCACCAAGTCTAGAGATAAAGTTCCCCTTGGACGAAAAATCGTTATAATAGCTTGACGACTCCACTGGGGACACTTGAGAGTCAAGCCAAAAATTAAACATGCGTCATCCAAATTTTAATTTTATGGTCTTTTTGATATTTAATTTTAATTTATTATCTCATCTTAGAATAAATTTTTTTTTTCATTTAGTTTTGATAAGTTATTATGTTATTGCTAATTATATTGTTAATTTTATTAGTAATTGTTGCATTCCCAAACACATGTGTACATTTGCATTCATGCATAAGCTCTATACCTGAGCTCCCAAATCTATCCCATTTTAGAAGTGAGTAGAGTACCTACGCTTTCGTGAGGTTATAATGCCTTTGCTTGGGCTAACGAAATACTTCTACTCAAGTTGAACCCTTTTCGTTGGTAGCCCGGTATAGGTGAGGATCAGGGGCTTTA